TTATAATATAAAAAAATCATAGCTTGCTATAAGTTGAAATGATAGGACGGATTCTGTAAGAAGGATGTGCAAATGGCCGTTCTGCATGTTTTGCGGGATCCCTTTGCAAATGCGCTTGGTGAAAGGGCTGCAAACCAAGAACCTGTGGTTTCCGGGCAAAAAAAAAAATTAATCATCACACTTGATATAGGCACAACTGATTTACCACCAGTGTGACCCTGCAGAGCACAGGACCTGGTGCCTGCCGAGGCACACACTGGGGTGCCCAGGGGAAGAGGAGGAGGAGGAGAAGAAGGGGATGCACGAACTCACTGACACCCAGGCTGGGACGTGCCGCCCAGCAGCCCGTCCCAAAACTGCAGAATAAAAGTTTCCCCAGGACTCAGCCCCGAGGTCGTAGTGCGAAAAACTCTTCGGCAGAGCTGCCGCTACCCACTTGCAAACCACCAGCTCCCGTGGGTGCACAGAAAATCTGCTGTGATTTTTTTTAAGGGAGGGGGATGACCAGGAAGTGGAGGATGCACTTTTCATGAAGGGCCATGTGTGCTCAGGCAAGATGAACCCTCACCAGGGAGCAAGCGGAGAGGAAGAAATGTGGCTTCTCTGCACAGAGGATGGAGTTCTCCAGCCTCACTGTGCGTCTCAGGGCCTCTCGTTAAAGGCATGTAGTGTGAACAGAGAGAATAAAGACCCTTCGGAGATCGTGGACTGGGCAAGCTTTTTCTAAACTAAGTCACAGTATGGAATAGAGGAAGAAAAAATAAACTAGGATCAAAAAGAGAAAAAAGCAACTCTTACAAACCAATCCCAGATCTTGACTCAGTGCTGTTGCTTGTATATAGTGCTATACAATCTAGTTGTGAGTTGGTTTTTCTCTGCAGGCATTGGAAATCTTCATAGTAAGACAAAACCTAGGATGGCCAGCTTTCCAAAAACCCCTTAGTGTTCATTGGGCTATGAACAATTTGGCGTTCACTACAACATGAACACTCAAACCAATTGCACATCCAGAACTCCGGCACCTCTCTTTGTTTGTTCGGCTTTTGTGTTTTGTGGTTTTTTTCTTTCTCATTGTCGCCTTTGCCTTAGTTGACCACCACCACCCCTTTCATCCAAATGTTGCAAGTTGAAAAGACCACAGAGTAAGACTTTACTGGTTGGGCAAGAAAGTCTCTCCCTACATTCTACTGTCTGATGAGATTTGAGAGCAGCAGGTAGTTGCTGTCAGCAGTCATTTTTTTGCAAAAAAAAAAAAAAAGTTTAAAATAAAATACAACACCCATCCGATTTCTCGGATTTCTTGAAGTTCTACACCATGTTGTGATGGTTATTCCTCTCAATGATGTCCACAGGTGAAAGGATCTCCTTCCGGATGGGCGGTGGAGGCAGGCAAGTCTTTGTCTTGGGCTTGAAGAGATCTGAGACATAAAACACCTGTAGGAATAAGTGAAAAAGAGAAACTTAGCCACACTGGGTGATGCTTTGTTCAAAAATTTCATTTACAGAATATATAGATATCTTTAAGCTGCAAAAACAGCACTTTTTGTGCTATTGAATGCTGCCTGTAACACCAATATCTGTGAAATCTCAGGGGCCTGCTACCACCTTTCTATACAGTATGGAAAAAGGCTCAGACTTCACAAAACACAGTGTAAAAACATGACAGAATATCTTCATTTCTCACTGCATAATCACCGAGTGCAATACCCAAACCTCTGCTGAATAGGTTGAAAAGCCAGGAAACAGACACATGGCCTGCACTCCAATAAAATAACAAAGGCCTCCAAAGGGCTAGCCTGACTCATGGTGAGTGGTTTCGGGATAGAGTCGGTGTGAAACAATTCATTCAGCCAGAAACCAGGTAGGCAATTAAAAGCTTTCAAATCAAAGCTGTGTGAAAAGTTATCAGCAATGAGTCAACGGTGACTGATGTTCCTCACACCCCACCAAGGCACTGATACAGACCTGGGGTCTGGTCCTGAAGCCAAAGGCTAAGGAGCGGAGGAGTTATTCCTGACTACTTCTTCCTAAATATCCCGTGATGTAACCCCTCTCCCGGATGTGAAAAAGCCAGTACTTGGCAATTTCGGAAGGTAGCAACACAATAAGAAACAAAGTGCTGGGAGGAAACTTCCACATCCTCCTTTGCAGCCGCTGCACAAAGCTTATCAGTCCTCCAGGACCGGGGCACTTTCACCCTTGCCAAACCTCAGCCTTGTGCCAGAAGGGAAAAGAGTCAGACAGCACAGATCCTCTGGACAGAGCAAGAAGTGGCAAGGACTAATCATTTTACCTGGCACCAAAGTCCCAAACTTCCGTCCTGCCAATGACTGCCTCTGCCAGCACAAATTTGTTGGCTCCCTCAGACATCCCTAAACACAAATAATCCAGACCAAGCTGTGGGTTTGCTGAGCTTAAGCCCCAGGAGGAGCAGCATGTGTTTGTAGGAATTAGCAGCACATTTGAGTTTTCTCCCACAGTACTCAAATGCAACATTTAAGCAACAAGATAAATCGGGGGGAAAAAAATAAGTCCAAGGTGCTCAAAGGAATAATATTAGATTAGCACATCCAGGCTGGGTAACACAGGGAGGAGCAAAGGTTTTTCCCACCTGCATATCCACATTTTTTAGCTACCCAGAGCCCTATGCAGCAGGTCTAGTTGTCCTTGCAAATAACTTTTGCAAGTCCCTATCAACACAGGCAGATAAGGCACTGAGCTGAACAGACAGCAAACTTGCTGTAAGCAGCAATTTACTCCTACAATTATAACTGGGATGCAGGAAGCTGACCTGTTGTTGCTGGGCTTTTATTGCTTTGTGGAAAAGCAGGGAAGGAGCTGATTTATAAAACAGTTCTTTTTTTGGTGTATGTGCTGGTGTCTGGCTGCCTAATTGTATAACAGAGCCGATAAAGTTGTTTACAGGGCATCGAAGTGGAAGTGTTTGTACCTTTGGTTAAATAACAGGATCCAGCTGATCCTGCCAAGGATCACAAGCTGGAGTCTGGCCTTGTGCTGTAGCATCATGGTGTAAAAGCATGTTGAACTGCTCTGGTAATGGTTTTCTTTTGGGTTGTTAACAACTGTAACCCACACCCCCTCCCCGTTCGGCTGGCTTGGTACATTTCTGATGCCATCTCACTCACTTGCCCACCTCAGAGAGCTGGATTCAATCAAAAAGATGTCCAACTTCTGCACCAAGATAGCCATGACAAATCAATTTAGGAGAGGAGATTGCTGAATGCAAGAAGCGTATGGGAATTGCACAAAGTCTGGTCCTTATTTTGGACAGCAATGAGTTATGGTGGAGTGTCATCCTGGGTATTTTAGCTTTTACTGTGCTGCTCACTGCTTTTCAGGGTTTCATTCAGAGACTGGGTAAGAGGTTTCATTTCTCTTTAAACTATATTTCACTTTAGCATGGCTGGAGGTTATATAAACATTTATAGGAATCATGAAACGTGATCTTTGGGGGTTAAAAGTGTGTTAAATCCTCCTAATGCTTGAACTGTTTAACACAAAAAAGGGCTAATAAACGTGCGAAGTTTTTCACTTGGATTAGCTCCACTTCCTGTAGAAGGTGCTCTCCACCCATAAAGAAAACTTGACGGGAGAAGACTGAGCATGTATTATACAAAGTAAGCCAATATCTTGTACTCCCACTCAACAATTCCTATTCCTTTCCATTATATTGAAGAAACTTTTAATCATATACATAGAGATTAAAACAACTCATCTAAGATAGCCAGAGCAACACCAGGAGCACATCTTTCCAATGTCTCCCCTTTTCTCTCTTCCTCAGATGAGACCTCAACTACACAGTACATAGAAAGCTGTCTAAAACGTGCATAAAAGCTATTTCTATTTAAGAAATCCTCATCATATTTCACCCTGGATCCAAGTCCGAATGTTTCATCAGCTGGAAGTGCTTGGCATGAATGTTTTCTGCTTGTTATTTCAGGCACTGAAAGACAAGCATGTCTGCCGCAGCACGACCTGGATTTAGGCTCTGGTAGCCCTTGGAGATGGAATCCACAATTGGTTTCTACTGAAAATAATGGCCTGATAACTGTGGTGTTTTAATGGCCCTTGACTATCAGCAGAGTGGACTCCTGAAGGCTTTGCTGGGGGAAGGAGTGGTTGGGAGCACCCAGGGTTGGAGGCTCCCTCTGCTTCAGAGCAGCCCATGCATGAGAGCTGGGCAAGAACCCCTAGGACATAGCAGTAACTTAAGCAAAAAGCTGCTAAAATACTGTTTCAATGCAAACTCCAGGGAGTCTCAGGATGACTCTCCCTCTTATCCCTTGCTATCACCTCCCAAAACAGAGGAAAGTGTGCCAGCCCCTCCTAGGCAAGGGTTCCCACCAGCAAAGCCAGGTTCTGGAGAACAGCAACATACTGAGGCTCTTTGTAAACTGATGAAATGGGACAAAGGTTTGGTTTAAACTCTGCCCTGAGTCCTAAACTGCAGCCTGAGATGTCCCCAGCCACCAATCCATGCCTGCAAAGGGTTTGAAGACAACTGCCCCTTCTACCAGCTGGCTTGGAGAGCAGCACAGGTTGCCCCAGGCTCACAGGCAAACCTAAGCCTGCCTGGGAAACTCCAGGCAGCTGCTTCCTATGTCGGTTTTCCTCAACACAGGAAAGCCAGCCCAGCACTGCTGCACAACCTCCCCTTCCCAGCACAGTTTCCAGCTGCTGGAGGGCCAGGAGGAGACAGACAGCTCTGCTGCTTGTCCCAGCCAGGAAGCATCCGGACACCAATCCTGAGCATCCGGAGAGCTATTGTCTTTCTGAAACCGCTGCTGGGATCCAAGGATCCTACTCCTCTTATATATTGCTGTTATCCCACCTCTCAAACAGAAAAGTGCATGGAGAGGTAACCCCCCCCCCCCTTGTAAAATGTCTGGCCTTGTGCATCTGGTGTCTCAATAAACCCACATGATGCCAATTTAGGCACCTGGACCAAGATAAGCTGCTTCATTGCTCCTTGCATGGCTCAGGGCCTTTTCTCCCCAGGGCTGCCAGCACTGCCATCATAGTGCTATGGCTGACTACTGGCATAGGGAAAGTTTGCCAGGGTTTGGAGAAACACCCTGACAGTATTGGAATGAAGGCACAGGACCTGGAATGCTGCAGGCTGCTGTTACAGCAGCAACACACCCATCTGTGCACACACATGCTTTTCCTGCTTCCCTCTCTGGATTTGCCAGTCCCACATGGGATGTTGGCATCAGGCTACAGCACAACCCAACAGCTACTGCTCAGAGAGTTAATAATACTTCATGAAAACTTCCCAACAATGACATTTTTGTTTTGCCTTTGGAATATTATCAATGAGTGGGAAGTACATAAATAACCTATTTTCTCTCCTTGCAAAATGTAACATTAGTGAACTTAACTCCTTGTTTGCCAGGCTGCTCTACTTTTAGATGTTAAAAAAAAAAAAGAAAAACAACCAAAAATAGTGGTGAGCTGTTAAAATCTTGTTTTCAGGAGTTTGTATAGACACAGAAACTACTGCAACCCCCAGGCTCCTTTGTGTCTGTCTGAGGCAGCTGTCTGACACGGTGTCCCCAATCCTGCCAACTTTAAACATCTTCATGTGTCACTTTGAGTTACAGGGCTGTGCATTCAGGTCATCCTTTAGAAAGCAAATAGCATGAGAATGAACCCAACAGCTGAAGACAAGCAGGCAGAGCTTTTATTTGCCACTTTCTCATGAGCCTTTTTGCTCCATGAAAACCCAGAACTCATCAAGGCAGTCTGCCACCCCTCACCAGGCAGACACCAGCTCCTGCACCGGGGGAACAGCTTTTGGATAGACTGTGTGGAGAAAAGCCATAATCCCAACCATCCCAGACTCCCTGCCTGGTGGAAAACCTTGCTAAGCAGCCAGTGCTCATTACTGAGAACAGCTGGAGAAGCCAATCCTGCTGGCTGAGAGGGAAATGCTCTCTCTTGACTAAACGTCTTTCCAGTGCCCTAAGCTGCCTGGACCAAGACTCTGGAGCACATTGCCTCCTACCACATCCCCACTGTAACAGGGAATTACCTGAGCTGGCAGCTGCACAGGCTGGGGAAGCATCCACTATTCCTCCAGGAGCCTCCCAGCATCCCCAGTGCTGTTTCCTGCCCAGTTTTCCGTACTCACCACGCAGTAAGCCACCAGGGCTCCCTGTGCAAAGCCTGCCAGCACATCAGTCGGGTGATGCTTGTGGTCTGACACACGGGACAGGCCGGTGTAAAACGCCATCATGATGAGGGTGAACTGGAGGAGGGGACGAAGCAGGCGGGCTCCCTTCCACGTGAATCTGGCCTGCAGATAAAACTGAGAGAAGAACAAAATGGTTGTGTTAATTTGCCCAGATTTACCCAAAATATGCACATACTGCAGCAACTTCTCTGTGGTGCTGGTCATGTGGCACCCACAGCCCTATGGCTCAAGGAAGGGAGAGCTGCAAAAGAAGGATGCACATATGTGGTCTCTTCTCTGTCATGCAGAGCAGAGTGGAGCTGTAGGGATTTTAATCCGTGGAGGGGATGCAGGCAGAGGAGGATGGGTACAGCTCTTCCTCAGTGAGTCAGGGCCAGGGAAATGGGACACCCTGCATCCCAGCTCACACTGTGGCCCTGCTTCAGCCTCTCCACACAATACCCCATCAGGCAGAGCAAGGAAATTCCTCCTCACTGCTATTTAGTGTGTAAGAGAAGCAAGGTCCCAAATTTGGGGTATGTACAACCCATGGCATCTCTCAGAGGAAAGAGGAATCAATGCAGTACTCTACACCACCAAAGACAGCCCTGAGAAATTCCAGAGATAGCCACTATCACTGACAAGGTGGATGCACAATGCCATCCTCTAACACTGCCATCATGTTTCCCAGCCTCAGCCCTGGGGTTTGCAAGGTGCAGGGAGCAGCTGCCTCACTGCATGGCATGGGAATTCCCTTCCTGGGAGGGACAAGCAAAGCCCTGGCTCAACCCAAAACGACGACATTGACACGATGTCAAATAGACATTGTACCCCTGCCGTGACTATCTCAGGCCTGTTTCCGTTTTGTTTGGCAGGCATGGCTGATTCCTGTGGGAACCGGGAAGCTGGGTGGGAAGAGAGGACAGGAAAACAGCAACTCACTGCCCGTAGATGAGCGCAGGGAGGAAAGCTGCGGAAAGGGAGGGACTCATAGCAACCTGCAGGCTTGGGCAGTAAAGAGGCATTCAATGGCTCAAAGAGTATAAAAGTGAGTGGCAAATGCTGCTCAGATCCTGCAGCTCAGACCCACTGTCACAGCAGGTCTGTTCTGCCTGTTCCTGAATGAAGCACTGGTAGTCAGACCCAGTGTGCTTCAAGGGTCTTTGCAACATCAAGAGGGCTGGAAAGGGGTTTAATATCCCTTTATGATCCCTTTTACACACTCGAAGCAGTTTGCACTACCCTGATATGAAAGGGAATGAAGCTCTCGGTGGGTTCCCTGAAATCACAAATAACTTAATGACACCATTTGCCCGTAAAAGCAGAATTAATTGCTAAGCTGATAAGGGGGAAATCATCATTTTGGCCAATTTTCTGTTCAACTGTTGCATAAACACTATATTTACCCCTTTTTGGAATGAACACACACTGGGTTTGTTAGAAGAAATGAAACATCATGTCATTTGAATGGAGCAGATGCTCCAAATTATCCAAATTGTTAGCCAATTAACATGGAAGAGAGCAGTACCAAAACAGCTTGGTGCTGGATAATGTACGTTATGATTCTGGGGAATATATCTGCAAACCAGCCTAAGCCTGGGAACTGAGCCACATCCCCACGGTGCACACCCCACACCATGCAAACTTATGCAAGCAATGCTATGGGATGAGTTACAGCTCTCTAGATCCCATAGCAAACCCACACTGATGCAGACCAGCACATGGACCACTGGGCTGGTTCTCTAGTCTGTGATAATTTTAATTGCCACAGCATTTGTGCACCCAGTGACCTGCCTCTGAGAATAATTGTGCAGGCAAGATGGAGTTGTGGATGCCTCACCCTTGGAAGTGTTCAAGGACAGCTTGGATGAGGCTTTAAGCAACCTAGTGTAGTGAAGGTGTCGCTGCTCATGACAGGGGGGTTGGAACTAGGTGATATTTAAGGTCACTTCCAACCCAAACCATTCTATAATTCCATTTTCATGTTCAAGAGCCTCAGCTCAGCGCAGGTGACAGTGCAAAACTCAGGTTCAAGTACACTGCTACAGAGTAAAATTAACTCCAACTATTACACATTATAAACCATCACTCTTAGTTCTACCAGGAAGACTTGAAAATTAGCGTATTACTTTACTCTTGAGCCCCTATCACATCAAAACTCTTCAGAAGGAGATTTCCTGCTGGATAATCTGACATTTTTCCCTTTTGCACACCCTTGACATCCCCTTAAATCCCCACAAGCTGGGGCTAAATAGGTTATCTACAGGTGAGGATGTAATGTACCAGTTAAAAATTAGGAATAAAAAGCTAATACTGAGTTTGACATTTGTGCCTAATGTACACACTTTAGCCCTGGAAAAGGTGCAAAGGCAATGTGACACCATATGGGGTGTGCTGGGTGCCATCCAAGTTTCCAGCACCCAACTCACACCCACACCTGCATATCTTGAAGGCATAAAACCCACTTGAGCAGACACTGCGCTGCCTGTGTAAGGATCTTGATTGAGTTCCTTTTACTACCGCAATAAAGGTAATGGAAAAAATGCTCTTTATTTCCCCATTCATATGGAAAAAAAAGAGGATAATGACACTCCTCATATTCCACAGGCATATTATGAACATGCAATATGATGAAAACTGCTTTCAAACACCAGGGTGCTGAAGATCCCTTAAATATTTTAGAGGCAAGGTTTGGGTGCTCCAAACTTTGCCTGTGTCCTCAGTATGAAAGGAAAATCCAGTTAATAAGGTCAAAAAGTGAAAGGAGAGTTTAATGGCTGAAAGGATCAGAATTTCTTTAAAGCAGGAATTAGTGCTATTACCAAGAAATGGGAAATTCCTGGAAATTTATCTGAAAATCTGCTTACGAAGGTGTTGTTTTGGGGTTTTTTTTAAAACCTAGGAACAAATCTGAAGTGCTGCCTGCTACGACTGCCAGATTTGGATGGGAATGCGGGGTTGGATAGAGCCCTTCCCAAGAGGGGGTGGAGGAGCAAGACCACAACCAGGGTGATTTCCACAGCAGATCATCATAGGGCAGTGAAAACCAGGAACATCAACAGGAGCAAGTGTGGATGAAATGGCATGAAATGGGATGACACAGAGCAAGAGCTATTTGGAGTCCCCATCCACTGTCTCCTGGCATAGGCTGAGTTACCACAAAGCAGATGGCTTGAGGGACGTCACATCACTCTTCTTGTGCCAGGGGACTTCCATAGTGCTGGTGGGGACAGCCCACGGCCACATGCAACTCCGGAGCAAATCCAAGGAGGGGGAGCTGACAGGGCACATGGGCTAAAAGCATCACCTCCAGCCTCCCGGGGCTTTCTGTCATCCAGAAATCCCATCCCACTCACACTCTCCCTACCGCAAGGGTAAACTCCATCAACCACGACCCTTAGTCACACCTAAAGTTTCCTGGGAAACAGCTGGACTTATTTCTGGCTGCCTGACCTGGAGTGACCTCCATCTCCAGCCCCATCTGCACAGAGAGATACCCAAAGTGGGTACAGGGCAAAGCTTCTCAATCCCAAACCCAGTGTAATGCCCTGCCCTGGCTGGAAGACAGGGAATGCAGAATTCTACTTTTAGCACCAAGCTGACCAGAAGAGGAGGACAGGAGATCGGCAAAGACCTCTCAGCACCGAAGGCATGTGCTATTTGCTTCTTCCCTGCCTTTGCTGAGAATACACCATCCTCCCACCTCATCAGAAATATCTCCATCAGCTCAGCAGCACAGTTCACACCTCAGCCTTGGCCTCTGATGTAATTCCAGTTTATTCACTTACTGAGGTCACCACTAAACTTGACTCCAAGTCTACAACCACCACAGAGGTTTCTTCACAAGGGCACATCATTGGTCAGAAGCACCAGGGCACTGGGATCTTCTCCACCCTTCAGCAAGAAGTTCCAGTGAGAAGCCTCATGCTTCCTCCAACACAAAAGACCAGCAACATCTCTCATTTTCTGTTTAAATCAGTAGAACACACAACTCATTCTGATCTGAAGTCTTCAGTCTTACCCACTGATGCACATTAAAATACACAAACTGCCCTGGTTTACTGACATTTTATCCAGAATTAATCAATGTTACTGAGGGATATTAATTTAGTTTTTCTGATATCTATATTTACAGACTCAAGCTCTGCCAGGGAAGGTTTAGGTTAGATATTAGGAAGAGATTTTTTATGGAGAGAGTGATCAGACATTGGAATGGGCTGCCTGGGGAGGTGGTGGATTCACCATGCCTGGAGGTTTTCAAGATGAGACTGAATGTGGCACTTAGTGCCATGGTCTAGTAACCACGGTAGGGTTCGACTTGATGATCTTGGAGATCTTTTCCAATGCAGTTGATTCTATGGTTCTATGATTCTAACTTTAGCTTTTCTACACCCTCTGTGTGGTTGGCTGTGATTTCAGGCAACTTCATGCTGAAAGAAAATTAGCATTATCATCTCACAGGCTCAAGGGGAGTGAAGAGCATCCATCACTCTCTGCAAAGACTCCCCACATCCAGAGAAACAAAACCAAGAGGTGTGGGTCAGGATCAGAGAGCTGCATGGAATAAGCTGTTCCATACCTCCTCTTTTCTCAGCCTGCTATAAATATGTATTACAGCTTGCTCAGCCAAGGACTAACAAAGCAAGGAAAATTAAGACAAAGAAGATTACCCAAGCGTAATTTCCCCTTTTATTTATTTTATACAAAGGCCTGATGTTAATTGAGTACTCCTGGTGACAAGAAGGCTGCAAGAAACTTAGCCCTAATGTCTCAGCATTTGGAACTAAATCCCAGCGGATTTTACTGTGTTGCAAGTACCTTTCCCTGGGACATTTCCTCCAAAGTCCTCTGGGGCTTGGCACCTACCAGTGTTTTCCTATCAGGAGCCCATGGATACCACAGGGCTCTGCTACTGGGCTGGGCAATGGGAAAGCCATGGTCATCCATTCACTGGCCACCAAACACCTGGGCAAATCCAGCCCCATGGCACAGCCAAAGTCCTGCGGGATGCGTGGGAATCCATGTATCCTTTAATAGACTGAAGTTTTCTGGCATCCATCTCC